CACACACACACACACACACACACACACACACACACACACACGGTTGAGAAATGGAGCCTAAGAGACATGCAAATAAGGGCAGGCTTGGATTCTCAACTCTCAAGGCCACCGGAAGACAGGTACAGGTCCGGCTTTTACCGCACTTGTAACCCTACAATTTTCCCTGCTACGGGGATATGCAGAGAGAAAGCTGGCCCCTCCTGATGCAGATCACAGCCTCGGAGGTCTCAGGGATGCAGGCCGCCCTCTCGGCCACGAACTTTCGCCGTATATTAACCCTTCGGCCCACACGCTGACAACCTGCTCTTCTGCTAGTAATTGCGACTTTGCAATCTCTGGAGCAAAGATCAAGGCGTACGTGACGCAAGGGACCTGCCTGAGGAATGGCTGATGCAACGGATCTCGGGGACGGTTCCACTTCAGAGCAAGTCTGGCCGGGGCAAGGAGGACAGCTTGTGCTGCATCGCACACACAAAGCCACACAGGTGTCACACACGAGGTGAAACTCTGAGAAAGCTCCAAGGGCCCACTCTTTGTTTTAACAACTCTTCAGGGCCGATTCGAATGTGACGCTCCCGCACCCACATTTAAATTGGGAAGGAACAACGGGACGCCAATGAATGGCTTAGCGTTTTGATTTGCTGCTGGAGCGGGGAGTTTGAAAATACAAGCCAGCAGTCCACATGAACACAGATCTATCCCCCCCGGCCCCATGAACTGCGTATGCCTCATTTCTCAAGGCTGAACCTGGGAGACAGGTTCCCATGGGGACGCCTAGGGTAGCTATGCCTGATGTGAATGAACCCAGGATGCAACACAGTACATCTGAACAAAGCCTCCGGTTTGGCCAACGATAAACTTCACATGCCTGCCTGATTCTCATGCAACACAGATATGGCCAGGCATTTAGACGGTAGAAACGCTTGCGACAGTTACCTGGCCCTTTGCTGTATAGTCCGCCAAGACGCTGAGCAGTTTATAGAAGACTTCAAACCACGGGAGGTAACTGGGAACAAAAAAGCACACGTTTAAATTTGGAAAACTTGCGAAGAACATGCTTTTGCTTTCAAGAATGTCTATGCAAACTTTGCAATGCTCAGACACAGCTGCTAGGCGGGTCTTTCGCCCCCCGCCACGTGCTGGATCCCACAGCGTGTCGGCCACGGATGCGAGGGCGAGATTAGCACCCTGAAAGTCCTGCAGGGGGGCGGCATGTCCTTCAGGGATGAGAACTGCCTGCTGTAGGATCATGCTCATGTGCCAGCTGGATGATGCAGCCACTTGGCTGGCAATCTTCTGAGATCCTTGGAGAATGGGCCAGGAAACGACTGCCATGCCTTGGCCTCTTCTCCCCAGGGAAGGAAGCACGGAGTTCCGCATGCACGGAATTCAGGGAAAGGGTCTCCCACGGCATGGCTGCTTTGCCAACGGCCCCAACAGCCAGGCCGCAGGAATGATCGATCGAAGCGGGATGCAGCAGGCGTGAGCGATCACAGGAAGACGGTGTTGCCCTGACATCCCCATGCAGCCCGCAAAGGCCACAGTAAAATCGCAGTAGCTTATCAACCCTGAGCCGACCAAGAATGTAACTTTTCACGTTATCGTGCCTGTGAATACATCCCAAGCCACTTTGGGGGGCCAGCGGCTGCTGGCCAGCCGACAGACAATTGCTACTTGAGAGTAGGGCTGCTGCGCTCGGCAACAGAAAGGACGCATTCCAGGGGGATTAGAGGGACGATAAAGTTCCGCTTCCCATTTTTAAGTCTCGTAAACCCTGGTGGAGCTTAAGAGCCGCTGCAAGAGCACCAGGAAGGAGAGGAGCTGCTTTGGAGCAGAGGTGGAAAAGGACTTGGGTAAACAGACTGGCGCAGGAAGAAAAAGGACCTGGAGAGCTAGATTATTTTTAATTTCGGGAGCGTCTGAGAGAAACCCTATTGAATTGTACTCCAGACTGGCTGAGGTCCTTTTCTATAGAGAGGCTATTTCAAAAACCAGCTTCCAATTTCAGCTCCACATTTTGAACTTTCCATTCAAGCTGTTTCTGGTGTGCTGTTGAGACATTTCCAGAACTCCTGGTTCTAAAATGGGGCATCTCAACTTTAGGGGTTTTATGGATAAGCTGAAGCCAAGACTGCGTGCAAGACCAAGGCTAAGAAGCTAGGACTGGGTTCCACGTCGGCACTGAAAGCAAAGGCACACGGCACCAAGAGACGTCTTGTTCAGAGAGCTTAAATATCATCGGATTGCAAAGTCAGAGGCAGACTGCCCAGGTCGATTCCCAGCCCTCATCCATTTGTAGCCAAGGCAGAGCTGAGCTTTAACGCCCAAGTCCGAAGGTAGAGCTGAGCTTTAACGCCCAAGTCCGAAGGCAGAGCTGAGCTTTAACGCCCGAGTCCGAAGGCAGAGCTGAGCTTTAACGCCCGAGTCCGAAGGCAGAGCTGAGCTTTAACGCCAAAGTCCAGCTTTCCACCAGTTGCTCGTCACTCCCCACCCAGGCCTGCCGTCCCTTTTTTGCCCCATGGAGGAAAGGGGACGCCCGGCTCCTGCAAAGCTGACCGCGACCCACACCTCCTCTTAGCTCCATCACACAAGGGCCAAGCGAAAAGTTTACCAGCTCACACAGCAAAGGAGAAGGTGCCCTGCTGGGGTCTAACGCAGTTCCTAGCATTTTTCCTTAAATTGCTTCTTGTATTTTACAAGAGACTAGCAGGCACAATAAAAGGGCCTGTTTTACTCGGCTTGTATTTCCTGTACACCCAACGTTTATCCTTTCACACTGCGTTAATTGCTAAACCTGCTGGCGATGCTGGTTGATCAAGAAGCCGCGGGGAGACGGTGGTCTTCACTGCCTCTCCAGCCACTGCTGGGGTCCGGGGTTGCTGGCAAGGGCAGGGAGAAGCGGCCAGCTTTGCAGAGGGAGACCCCTATGCATGCCACCGCCCCCCCCGCCCCCTAATCGCTTGCAATGGACGGGGGCTGGTGTGGGATGCTCCGGCTTCATCAGCCACGCCTTCCCAAGACCAGGTGGCGGTTTTTAAATCCCACATTTCTCCACCAGGCTCTAAAATCTGCTCGTCCCGTCCAGGGATCTGTCGGCGATGCTGCCACATCTGCTCTGCAAAACGCCAGATGTGCGGGGGGCCGGGAGCGTGGCGGACCGAAGGCCAGCCTCACGCGCTCCAACGGACGCCCCCACCCCACCCAGGCGGCCGCCCAGCCGGCGCTCCTCGGGCCAAGACGCCTCTTCTCACTCATCTGGCTCTGAGGAGGAGGCCGCTTCGAAAGACGCGGCGCACGTACAGGTGGATGCCACGGGGACGTTCCCGTCTCGATGGACCGGCAGTTTGCAAAGAGTCATCCTCCCAGCAGCCTGGGATGGATATCTTCAGGACCAGAAACAGGAATACTTCAGCAGATTTATACCAGATTTATAAGAAAGTGGCTTTTGTTTCTAAGCACAGCGAATACGGCAGGAGCCTCGGGCTCAGAAAACCAAACTGAAGAGCTTGTGCTGCTTGACGCTGGCCACTGAGGCCGGCTGGCCCGGGGACAGCTGAGTGGGGCCTGCCCCATCTCTTCCTGCCTTCTCCCTTCTCACAGGGGACCTGGGCATAGAAAGAACCCCCGATAAAGGACGGACTCAAGGGGAAAGCAGGGCAGCAGCAGCGGCCTTTGCAGCAAATGAGCCAAAGAAGCGAAGCAGGGTCGGGCTGGGTTGAAATCGGGCTGGTGACTTGAGTCCCGCATGAAGCAGGTGGCTGGACCTGGCAGTTGTTAGGCTCTTCCAGCTGTAAGAATCTGGGGGGGGCGGGGGGGGAGGCTTTTGGTCAAGCCTGAAGTTTCAGAGGGGAAGGCAGGGATTCCTGCTGAAAATGCCTTCCCAAGCTCTCCTCACAAGGCTGTAATAGAATTAAAACTTTAGCAGGAAACTATGCCAAGGAGCCGAGCACCGAAAATGGAAGGACGAGGCTCATTTTCTCCCAGTTGTGTGTCATTTCCTTTGTTTGCACTACAAGGGAAATCTTCCCCCCTCTGCAAGACTCATCACGTCCCTTGCCCAACATGATATTCTGAATAAAGTTACTGCTAGATGATTTCTGGTGGTAGCAAAGCGAGCCGCCAGCGTGCAAAAGTTGGTCCGCTTGGCACTTTTATAGCTGAAAGGAGGAACCGATGCAAAGCAGTTCCTTCGGGCACCTTTGCCAGCCAGGGAACAGCACTGGCTCCTGCATGGATGAGGGACGTTAAACTTCCGGAAAACTGGAACGTGGCAGTTTCAAACAGGCAGTTTATTAACAAAACAGCCGACAGATATACTGGCACTCGCAGAAGGACTAAAGTTGGTGCGTCTGATAAAAGGTATAGATGCTCAGGCGCTGGTTTTCTCGAAGGTGTAAATATCAAAACGCACCAGAGAGAGCCTTTGGGGAGCTGGCTCTGTTTGCTAAGCAACCGTGTACCAGCTCCCTTTTCTCTAAATAGGCTCTCGCAACGGCGAGAGTTCCCAGGGGTCTGGAGGTGCCCTTTCATCTGGGGAGGGAACATGGCGGGCACTCTGCCTCGAGCACTTATCTGGAGACGTGGGCCAATTTCAATGCACCAGCAAGCCCCCACGGGGAGAAAGGGGGGTACGTTCCGCTGGCTCCCTTATGCCAGCATAAGGAACTCGCAGCAAACCAGCGCCAAGCAGATGAATGCCGGGACGGCATTTTCGCCCTTCGGTAAGTGGGGTGGTGCTGCTGGAAGGCATCGGGCTGGGCGCGAACAGCGTCTCCCAGGAAACGGTTCACGTAACAGGCCAGCTTTCTCGTGCAGCAAGGGGCAAGCGGACCCGGAGGGTAAGCGAGGGGGCTCCAGCACCCCGAAGCGAGCTGGAGGAGCCCCCCCACTCGCACCCTCCTGGATAACACAGCCGTCTCCCCGCGCGTGGAAGAGCTGGCTTCCCAGGCTGGGCCCAAGCTCTCCTCCGGCAGGGCCTTTGCCTGAATCTTGGCAGAAGTGGCTGCGGCAAAGAGAGGCACTGGCGGCACGGGCGCGCTGCCCGACCTTGGTGCGGCGCAGGTGGAGCTGCCCCCGCCCATGTGCAGAGAGCATTTCACGACAAAGCCTGCGAACTAAGCAACCCTCCTGGACGGGATCTCAGGGACAACCGAAATCCGGGTACCTCCCGCTCGTGTAGCACGAGCGCCTCTGCCCAAGCAAGGGGCTGCGCCTGCCACAACCCCACATGAGTGGAGGGGGAGCTGGCGCAAAGCCCCCCTCCACGGCGCGGCTGACGTCTCTCCCTTTCGGCGCCCGGACGACAGCCCAGCAGCTGCAAGGGATAACGGAACTCTACCTCGAGGGATGGGAATGCCAGCCTATGGGACCCCTTGCTCCTCTTTGAAGTCCAAACTATGCCGGATAGTAAACAATGCCAAATAAAGTCGTGCCGTGCCGGGTCTATTTTGCACAACTATCTAATTCGCACCGATTTGGACAGAGCCCCACTCTCCAGCTAGGCATGAACTGGACCAAGTTAGCATGGGGCACTGAACAGGCCCGGATTCCCTACAGAACCTTTAAGAACCACCTCCTTGCGAGCAAAGGAGAGTGTTGCTTTCCCGGCGAGCACACGGAAGCCCCTTGGCTCAGTATCGGGGTCTCCCCAGCTCTCACACTCAGTCTCCCCGCAGACGGGCAAGCCCCGGCAGAAACGGTCGGGCGAGGCTGCATGTATTTTCATTTATTTATTAGCATCACATGCCAGCTATTACGCATGAGGGTCTCTGGGCAGCTCACAACGGAAGCAACACCCACCATTACGCCAGCCAACCGCACAGGACTCCTTTCTGTGCCCCACCAACCCCCTGCCTACCCAACCCACTTCTGAAATCGGGTGCCGGCCAGCCGACCGGGGAGCACGAGGGCGGGAGAGGACGAATGCATCCTGTCAGCCTGCCTCGCGTTTTTCCTTTTCAGAACACGGAAGCTGGATTTATAACCCCGACACCCTGCTCCGCATGG